CTAAAAATAAAAATAAATAAAGAAATACTAAATATGAAATAGAGGAAATTTGAGGAGAAGGGCTGATCAATTGACTGACTGACTCTAAGCTCCTCAAACATTCACTCTTATAATATACCAAAATTTTAGTTTGTCTTTTAATTAATTTAAGTTGTTAATTATTGTTACTTATAGTGCTCTTAATTAACGTAATTTTTAAATAATATATGTTATTTCCTATGTCCCAATTTATGTGGCACATGTGAAATTTCGAGAATTAAACAAATTTTTAATATTTTTAAAAATATTTTAAGGTGTGATTTATAGCACTTTTAACGTAATTTTCAATTAATATATGTTACTCACTCTGTCCCAACTTACGTGTCACATGTGAAATTTTGAACTCTACCATTTTTTTTTGTATTTTTAAAAAATATTTTAAATTGTTTATTATTGCAACTTATAGTACTCTTAATTAACATAATTTTTAAATAATATATGTTATTTCTCATGTCCCCATTTATGTAGCACATGTGAAAATTTCGAGAGTTGATCAAATTTTTAATACGTTTTTAAATACTTTAAGTTGTCATTTATAATACTCTTTATGTAATTTTCAAATAATATATGTTACTCCATTTATCCTAATTTATATAGCACATGTGAAATTTCTAGAGTTCATCACATTTTAATACTAGTTTTTCAACACATGTGTTGCACGTGATAACCAATTCAGAAAATATATGACATAGTAAATAGTATTGCTTATTTAAGTGAAGATTTGAATAATAATTTTTGCCAAAATAATATTGCAAATTCTTTTGTGAATGTTCTTTTGTTTTGAACATCAAAAACAAATCATGACAATTATCTAACTCTTAAGAAGTCTAATAATTTTGGAAATAGTTATTCAGAAGCATATATCTACATCACAAGAGAAATTGTTAATAAAAACAAATGTATTGAGACTACATCATGTTAACTTCATATATTAAGTAAAAAAATAATTATTATATCATCAAAATTATTTTCCTCAAGTACTCGTGGTTATGGAATATACCTTCTTAGGATATAACGATTTACTTCATTAGAATAGTGATACCTCATATTCCACTAAACTTCGAACTAACTCAATGACAATAAATCACACGAATTCTTTTAAAATACAAGAAGAAGAAGAGTAGAAGATTAAAAAAAATTGTGGTTGAAAAATGAGAGGAAGCCCCTCTATTTATAGTCAACAAAGGGTAGTATGAAAAAACATTTTTTTGTGTCTTATCTGAAAAGTCATGACCTTTCTGAGAAGTCACAACCCTTTTGGAAAAGTCACAACTTATTGAAAAAGTCACAACTCATCGAAAGATCACAACCCTTTGAAAGAAGTCACAACTTATCGGAAAAGTCACAACTCATCAAAAAAGTCACAGCTCTTTGGAAAAGTCGCAACTCATCGAAAAATCACAACCCTTTGAAAAAAGTCACAACTTATCGAAAAGTCACAACTCATCAAAAAAGTCACAACCTAAGTTAAGGATATTATAGTAATTTAACATTCAAGTTAGGAGTTCATGTTTTTCAGGTAATATAGATATAGATATAGATAGATAGATGTTTTCAAATATTTTATGTTGTAATGCAGTACATGTAATTAATTTTTTTAGAGTTAACCAAATTTATAATCTTTTAAGTTGATTATTAGTACTATTTTGTAAATACATAACATATAAAAATAAAATATAAAAATAAAAATAAATTAAAACGAATAAAATATGAAATATAAATAGAGGAAGTTGAGGAGAAGGGCAAACCGGTCAATTGACCTGCTGATCCTAAGCTCCTCAATATTCACTCTTATAATATAGAGTGCTTTTAAAAGTTTAAGTTGTGATTTACAATACTCTTAATGTAATTTTTAAATAATATATGTTACTCCCTTTATTCAAATTTATATAGCACATGTGCAATTTTGAGAGTTCATCATATTTTAATATATTTTCAAATATTTTAAGTTTTTAATGTAGTACGGGTAAATTTTTTAGAGTTAACCAAATTTATAATATTTTAAGTTGATTATTAGTACTATTTTGTAAATACATAACATATAAAAAGAAAATATTAAAATAAAAATAAATTAAAACGAAATATAAATAGCGGAAGTTGAGGAGAAGGACAAATCGGTCAATTGAACGACTAACTTAAGCTCCTCAACATTCACACTTATAATATATTGTATTACTCTATATTATAAGAGTGAATGTCGAGGAGCTTAAGTCAGCCAGTCAATTGACTGATTTGTCCTTCTCCTTAACTTCTGCTATTTATATTCAATATTTTATCCGTTTTAATTTATTTTTTATTTTAATATTTTCCTTTTTATATGTTATGTATTTACATAGAGCCACTTTGAGGTTCCCTCTAAAATGAGGCATGTTAGGAAGCCACTACGAAGAAGTTTCAGCAATTACAACAAAAGCTTCGAACTCATATTGGTCATGGGTTGATTTACAAAATTAGTACTAAAAATCAACTTAAATTATTAAAAATTTGGTTACTCTCAAAATTTCACCCATACTACATAGTTGGGACTAAGGGAGTAACATAAATTATTTAAATATTACATTAAGAGTATTATAAATCACAATAATTAACAACTTAAAATATTTGAAAAACATATTAAAATGTGATTAACTCTCTAAATGTCACATGTGTCACATAAATTGGAATAAAGAGAGTAGCATATATTATTTGAAAATTACATTAAGATTACTATTAATCAACACTTAATGTATTTAAAAACATATTAAAAAGTTGTTTAACACTCGAAATTTCACATGTGCCACTTAAATTGGGACAGGAAAATAACATATATTATTTAAAAATTACGTACTTAAAATATTTAATAATATATATTAAAAATTTGATCAACTCTCAAAATTTCACATGTAACACATAAATCACAATAATTAACAACGTAAAATACTTAAAACTACATATTAAAAAAATAAGCAACTCTCAAAATATCACATGAGCCACATATATTATTTGAAAAGTGTGTCAAAAATATTATAAAAATAATTAACAAAACATATTTAAAAATTTAATTGCTCTACTAACTTTATCTGTGTTACATAAATTGAAACAATTAAATTAATATTTATTGAGCCTACCCGAACCTTTGTATCTTGTATTTAAATAAGACTCCAATGAGCACAAGATGATCAACTTCGTACACTTATTTTGCCTTATATAAAGGGCATTGTTCTCAAGATTGAAACATACGAAATATAGAAACATATTTCAACTTTTTTGTTTCCTTCTATAATATATATATCAAAACATTCTTGAGATTGTTCCATGCCTTGATTGGTTCATATCCCTTCTTAATATCACTTCATATGTCAGCGTCAATTCTAGGGAACTTCTCATTGACATAATGACCCTTATATTTTGTCTCTGCTGGTATTTTCCCATCTTCCAAAATATGAATATGTTCTATTCTATTCGCCCTAAGATATTAATTTTTCAATCCCTAGTGGTACCGTTTGTTGAGTATGTATTTTTTCTCTTGAAATGACTCGTCCTAGTCGTAATGAGTAGGCCAAATGCGGAAAGAAATTGGGCCATACAACTTTCTGGGTAGTGACATGAAAATTTTAGGCTAGGCAATTCTTAGACGGAATTTGGGCTATGTGAGGTCTAGGGTCATCACTACAAGAAACACAACTTTTAGCGACAACTTTCTGTGGCGACACATAAAATTGCCACAAATATATGACTTATTGTGGCGATTAACCAAGTTGCCACAAAAAATGGCGGCTATAGTTGCGACACCTATTGTCGCCACAAAACGTAGGATGTTTAGTGGCGACTTAATTCATGTCGTCACAATAGTTACTAATTTTTTTCAATAAAAATAGATGAAAGTGTAATTTGTGGCGACTTATTGAGCGTCGTCGCAAAAAGTTTTAGTTGTAGCGACTTTGCCGCCACTAAATGTGGAGCTTTTGTAGCAACCTTTTATGTCGCTACTAAATGTTGAGCTTTTGTAGCAATATTCTATGTCGTCAATAAAAATGGAACTTTTGCAATAATCTTTTATATCGCCGGAAATTCCTTTATGTTGATATGATAAGACATTGTATGTCAATTTAACTTCAATTAATAGTTGTAAAGATAATAATGAATGATTTACTTATTTTTCATTGCTAAATTAGTACTTACACTAATTTAATGCATCTAATGACCGTCTTTTAAAATTAGTACTTACACTAATTTAATGCATCTAATGAGTATTTTAAATATATTATTTAGGTATTAAATATTGTTATTAAAATATGTAATGTGATTAATTTCGTAATAAACTTATTTTAAGTAATTACTCAGTGATTGAAACATTTTGCACATTACAAAATAACTAATTTTAGGCATATATATTAGTATTACTTTTATTGAAAAGTAAATAAGCTAAATTATGATAATAAAGATATAAAATATGCTGTGAGTATTTCTTGTTTACTATTTTGAGTTCATAAGAAGGTTATTTTTAGTTTTTATTTATAAGAAAGGGATATTATAATAAAAATCTTTGTTCTATGATTCATTTTGATATACATTTTCTGTATTTAAAATCAAATACTTACGTCTCATATAATATGAAAATTCTACTCTTAAATATCCTATGAGATATATCTCGACCTAAGTATATTGAAATAAAGTTATTAAAATAAATGCTTTATTTTTCTAATTTAAGGATAATTTTAAAGTGGATGACTAAATAAACAAACTAAAATAAAAATGAAAATTTTCTATATAATAAAATATTATAATAAATCCGTGTTTTCCTTAAATTAAAATATGTACCTTAAATTACTTAGAGATTTTAATTTATATATGAACACGTTTGGAAAAATAACTAAGACAAGGAACCATTATTTATTTGTTTAATTCGAGTACGAAATAGAATGAGAAAAATCTATTAAGCAGGTTAATTAAACATCGATTTTCAGTATCAATTCTTGAACCAAAAACCCTGACCTGGCCCAAATAACCCAACTAAAGACCGCAATCCCTTCCCCATTTTCATTCAATCAAATTCTGAACCACATAAGCGCCGCCTCTAGGACGTCGGGAAAAGACCGGCACGACCTCTGCTATCGCCGTAGTTGTCTCCTCCACCCTCTCACGCCTCTTTGAAGCTTCTCACAGTTACAAATAGCGAATAGACCTCAAGAAGGAACACAACGACACTAATGATTTCTCCTTCTAACTCAACAGATAAAAGATTTTTCTAAGGTCCATGGATGAATTCAACATTCAACAGCCCCCCAATGGCTCCAAATAGCTATGAAAAAGTGAGTTTTCGCCCTTGTTTTTTAATTATATCCTCTCAAAATCACTCGGAAGATTTCCCACTTATTTTGATTCTCATAGTTTGAAACTCTTTAGCTTTATTGGGGAGCTAATATTTAGTTTTTCTAATGTAAAAAGAGCTTACATCGGCTCTGTTAAACAAGCTTTTCAATGGTGAAGACTCGAGATTCACCGATTCGTTGTCTCGGAGAAGGTCAATAACCTCCCATTTACTTACTTTCCATTCTAGGTCTTTAAATGAATGTGTGAATGAATAAATGTTCTTGCCCGCTTAATTAATTTTTTGTTGTACGTCTATAATTTTTTCATTTTTATTTGATAAATAAAATCAGCATCTAAAATGGCTAATATGAACTGAAAACCTTAAGAAAAATAATAATCACTGATCAGTTAATTTATCGGTATGTGATTAACATTGTTGCTAGTCTAGTTTGTGTGTTCAGAACCACTTGAATGTGTTTTACTTCATTCTTGTTTTTAATCTTGTATGAGAGTTTTAAAATTAACTTGAACATTTAGGAGAAAGCCACTGATTCAACAATTTAAAGTTGTTGAAATTTGATACTAGCTGCAAAAATATATGGCTCATCTAAAATCTATCTCCAAGGATTTGATGTAATAATATTTCTTTTATCAAAACTTAAATTTAATACAAGTACAAGTTTCTGAATTTACATAACTAAATACTATGTAAAAACTAGATATTACTAGGAAAGATCTCTCTTGAAATTATCTAGATGCTTGCAAAACAACAAAAGTAATGTAATGTTAAGAAATATCATGGTGAATGCTTCATAGTATGATCATACAAGTTATATCATACATTTATAGATAGGAAGGAAGATAACTATATGTTGTAGTAAAGTAATTTCTTAGGAAAGAAAATGTAGTCTTCCTTTGGTCCTTTATGGAAAATAAGAAGTACAAAAGAAGTATAAGTTAGTTGACTTGGTGATTTATTAATTCAGTCAAATGGAAGACTTATTTGTTTTCTATGCTTAGTCTTAAAATATGGTTCAAGGTTATATTGGGCTCACTTTTGATTGTTGTGACTTTGGAAATTTGAAGTTTGTATGATGTCAGTTTTTTTTATTGTATTTATGCTTCAGTAACACTTTTCAACATATTAGTATTAGAAAGTTAGTGTTAGCTTTTGTTTCTGCGAGACCCTTGCCTCCTGCCCGCCCACTCTTGTCCTTAACTCGTTATGCCAAATCTAACTATTTGGTGCTGCTCAGCACAATATTTTCCTTCAGTTGCTTTAGCTAAAAGTTTCACTTTAAACGTGCTTCTGCATTCGATTTTGGATATGATTAATATCTATGAAGATTAAGTTATGGACGTATCCAAAGTTGAAAAAATCAAAGAAGAGTTACCTGATGATGATGGAGATGTCACTAGAAAAAAACAATGATATGGAGTGACAAAAAACATTTACCACAATTAACTATATTTTGATTTTTTGATAATTTAGTTTGAGCAACTGGTCATAGATTCAATTTTAACGATATGTTTGTGATGACTTTAGCTTCTTTTTAACTCGGCTAAACAATCAGCTCTTCAAGTCAGATGCTTCTCAATTTCAATTTTTGTGCTTCTGCAATTTTATCATATTTATTCATTATTTTGTTTCTATGAAGTTGTTTGCTACTGTGTTGATTCAATGAATTACTTCGGAAGCTGAGATGAAAATTAAGAAGGATTGGAAGTTGTCAGAAGAACAAGGACAAATTTCTATAGAGATAGATAGAACGCTCCAAGAACAAATGATATTAAAAGTGGACAAAGAGATTAAAAGTGGTGGATTCTATAATGTCGAGAATTCAACAGGTAAATGCATTGGTATCTATTTCGACCTTTTGTTATAACTGCAACTCTTAAGCACAAGTCGCCAATTGTTAGTTCTATGTAATAAATCTTGAGCTATTCAACATACTCCCCCAGATGCACTTCTTCATTGTTTCTCTTCTTGCATCAAACTAGCTTGTGTTCTTCAATTTTGTGAAGGAATTGAAAAACAACTGATAAATAGAATGCATTTGATGAACTCGGTGTTGAATTTATTGTACCACCAGCAAGTTTGGTGATGTCAGCTTGTGCACTGTCTTTTTCTAATAACTTTATAACTGCCCTTTTTCTATTATCGCTCTTTTATAACCATCTCTTTTCTATTAACATTATGATTATGTTAATAATAAAAGTGATCTTGTGTATTTTTCTAATAGGGGCAAGGTTCTTGCATTATCTCAAAAGCCATCGACAAAGGAGGGGAGCTTGAAGACACTTAGTAGTTAATTTTCTTTTTCATTTGTGTATATGCATAAATGACATTGAACAATGAATTATTGTGAATTATATATTTTGTTGATTTTTTTAGTAATAGAAGTACTTGTTATATCCAGTTTAAGGATTATTTTGTGTGTTTCTTCAATTAGAATGAATGATGATAATATATTAATAGCTAATTGACAAAATATACGAGTATATATTGATTTTAGAGGAAATTCATTAGAATTGACTATTGCAGTTGTAAATATAGGGTTTGTGGCGACAAAATTAGTGACAAATAGAATTAGTATTTGTGGCGATAATACGTTGCCACCAAATCTCAAGATTTAGTGGCGATTAGAGTTGCCATTGAAAGTATTAAACATTTGTGGCAACATAAGTCACTACTGAAATCCTTTCTTTAGTGGCGATGAGAGTTGCAACTAATAGTATAAGACCTTTTGTAGCGACTATAATAGCCACTAAAAGTCTAACTTCAGTGGCGACTTACAAAACATGTATTTTGTGGAAGCTTTTTTGTGGCATACCTGGTTACTTTTAGTGGCGAGCTAGATCGCCACAAAAGGTCATTTTAGTGGCGACATATTAGAGTCGTCACAAGAAACATTTAGTTATGGAAGTACTTGCCACGGTGAATGTGTGGGGTGAAATGTCTAGGCTTTGTTTATATTTTCTAGTTGCCAAGACATTAAAGAGCCTGTAGGACTTTACGAAATCAAATTTGGGTGAGTAGAACATATGCAATCGGTCTCGACATGAAGGGATAGTTTAGGATGTTAAGGGGATAGTTTAGGAATTTCCGTGGGCGGCAAGCACTATAGAGGGCATGCGTAGATGGTACAACGGGCAGACAGTCGCTATAGCGGGGTAAGTCGAGATCTTATGCAGAAAAAGTCTCAAAACCTCATATTTTCTCATCATTGATCATAGGACTGAGAGTGGAGAATTAGGCAGTTCCTACTTGATTTTCCACCAAATTTGTTGGTAAAGGTAAGTCTATTAGTCCCCCATCTTGTAAATTAATTCGTAAGCCTTAAAATCTAGTGTATTACTCTTGGTAGGGCTGGGCATAAATACCGAAAAATCAAAATATCGAACCGAACCAAAAAGATTTTGTATTTCGATTTCGGTATTTCATATTTTCGTATTTTCGGTATTTCGATTCGGTTTTTGGTATTTGATTTTGTATTTTTTGGTATTTCAGTTTAACCAAAATATATTATTAAATTAATATTATATGAATTATTAATTTTAAATAATAAATATTACAGGCAAAATTTAATTAGGTTAAGACTTCTCATCGATTTTCTCTCAAATTTTAAATTTTTCACTGTTGCGCCGCACCTTCCCAGTCCCACGACACTTTCCCATTTTCTCACTTTCCGGCGCCAATCAGCAGGCCAGAAGCCGACCGCCACGATCGCTGCGACCACAAGCAACAAAAGCAGCAGGCCGACCAGCACTCCAGCAACAGAAGCAACCGACCAGCAACTCCAACACTTCAGCAGCAACCGATGAGAAGTGTAATTTAGCAGCTGAAAAAAAGGTAAATTTTTTTTAAAAGCCCACTAAGCAAGCCATAGCAAAAAATCAAACTAATAAAAACCGAACCGAACCGAACCGAATTATTTCGGTTCGGTGTTCGGTACACCTATTACAAGAACCGAAAACCAAAAAAACCGGAAAAAAAATGAAATCGAATCAAATTACCAAATGCCCATCCCTACTTTTGGGGAGGGTTTCGACTTGATTTAATGGTGGAAAAACCCCAGGTTTGATAGATAGATCATGAATTGGCATGGAGTTAGGATTTGGTTATAATATGGGTATTGTTGGGCCATTTTTTATTGTTGTTCTATGTGTTTATTATTTTAGACTAAGAAAAAGTGAAGGTATTGAACAAGGGGAAACCTTGGGTTCTTTAGAGTTTCCAAAAGGCTTGATTTGAGGTAGGTAATAGTTGTATGTTTTCTAATTTATGCATGTATGCATGTCTACTGCTTACATTATTGTTGTGCAATGCATATTGGAGAAAACATAGGGAAGAATATGAACTGTCATCATGTTGATAATCTCATGCAATGTACCTATTATTATTACTTGTGGTTTCAAGTGTTGTTGTTCATTGTGAATGTGATTGTTGGTTGGATCAGGTATCATGCCGGTACAGGAATACAAATGGTTGGCTCGAATACTACGCCTGGTGTGATTACTAACTCTAGTTGGTTTGTGAACCACACTTGTAACACCCCAGAATTTTTTTGAGCTAAGACTTGAACAATCCTTCGTAGTTAGTAAGCTTTTACCAAGGAATTTAAATTTTTCTTAAGTGTTAAGGTCACTAGATATAGCACCTTGAGTTCCAAAAAGAACTAAAGAGAATTCATTCAAGTCATTCCTTAGTTCTTTTAAGTTTTGGGTCAACTTCAAATGACCATAACTTTCAGTACATGATGAGTTGGGAGACCCACAAGATATCAAATGAAATATCTCTAAGTGCTCTTTCCAACGCCACCGAGTTTGCTAATTTTTGAGTTTATATGAGGGAGATATGCTCTTTTGATTCAGGCTGTCCATTTAAGGAAAGGAACCCGAAAATAGGAGGGGTATTTAAGTCTTTTCCTTACCCCCACTTATTCTAAACGTAAATTTCACCCAATTAAGGGTCTAAATTGATTAGAATCAGTTTCATTCATCCCCAAAAACATTTAGGGTTTTAGAGAGAAGATTCAAGAGGAGAAAAAGTTCAAAGTTTCAAGCGTTCGTTCAAGAAATTCAAGATTTTGCCAAGAACCTAGTTCTTTGAGGTATGTAGGCTTCCATAGTGTTGTGTTTGTTCGCCCACACGCCAATCATGTTATTTTCAGTGAAATTTCGTTCTTGAAGTTGAAGAATTTGAGTTCTTGATTTGTTTCTTGAAAGTATTGTTCCGTTCTTGAATTAGGATGAGTTTGATGAGTTCTTGAGATAAAAGTTAGTGATTTGAGGGTGTTTTGGAGTAGATTATCATGTACATAAGTTGAGTATTTGAATCTAAGTGATTGGAAAAGAAACCATTCGATTCTAGGCGAATTGGGGTAAAAAAACGAGTAAGAAAAGATGGGGCAGAAACTAACAACACGGACCTGACACGGACCTGTTCCTCAGAAGTGAAATTTCCCTCTCCGCGTCACAGAGAGAACGCGGACTCCATTGTTTCAAAAATTATTTCGTGACCAAACATTACAATTCATCTCCGCATCGCGGACTTGTTCCCAAGATAGTGTTTTTCAATCGTTTCTCATTATTAACTATCTAAATCTCATTTAATCATCACAATAACTTTCCTATCATAACCTTGAATTCATTATTCAAATTCAAGGTAGAGTTAAGAGCCAAGTCTTGAGAGTTCTTTTGAGTCTTTTGAGAAAGTCCCTTTGAGTCTTTTGAAGAGTCTTCTACAAATTCTAATAACTTGTTTCAAAACTCAAGTAAGTGAGCATAAGAGTGAGGAGAATGTATTCATGAGTCTACACTATCATGAGATCCTTCATATCATGAATCATAACTCTTGAATCAAGAAGGAGTTAAGAGTAGAGTTCGAGAAAGTCTTTCAGTTCAATTGTGAATCCTTTGAGATCAACTATCGATTTGAGCTAAATTTTGAGGAAATAAGTATGAGAATGAGAAGAGTCGTATACATGAGTTCCATATTTTTATGTAGACCCTCGAGTCGAGTCTTTCATGCCCAAAAATTCTGCATAAACTTCGTAAACTGAGCATCTTTGAGAGGAGTAGTATCTTCAAGTTCTAAGTCTTGAGTATTGAGTTTCCAATCCCCTTTGAGATTATATTTTCTAATCATGGAACTATTTCATGTTACCCATGAAAGTCATTGAGTTGAAGTGTTAATGCCCATAATTTTGCATGAACCCTATAAGTCGAGCAGTCTGGAGATGAGAAGTATCTCTTTGAGTAATCATGGGGCTACTACATGTTACCCATGATGGTCCTTGAGTTGAGTAGTTCATGCCCATAATTTCGCATGAACCCTCTGAGTCGAGCATTCTTGAAACGAGTATTACCATTGAAGTTCTTGAGTGCTGAGTTGTTGAGTGTCGAGTATTGAGTTCTATGTATGGTTATTGAAAACCTTGAATTGAGTCGTTCACATCCATAATTCGGCATGAACTTTATTTTGAGAAGTCTTTTACAAATTTTTTGAAACTTGTTTTAAGACTTGAGCACTTGAGTTGAGAAAGAGTAGATTTGAGTTCATTTTCTTTAAAATGATATATGGGAACTAAGTATTCCCATGAGTAAATGTTTTCACATTTAAAAGAGGAGAAAACTGAGATTTCCAAAAGAGTTTTGAGCAAGTCGAGTACTATCTCTTTTTAGAGAAAGATTTTGAGTAATAATCGCAAACCATAGAAAGAGTTATGTTTTTAAATATATGAGCTAGTTATATTTTGAGAGTAGTATTGAGCACTGATATGGGGGAGAGTTCAGACAACTCACAACCCCTACAAACCATATAGCCAACGTGGGTAGAAAGGGTCATACTTTTTAGATGATTCCTTAATGCTTTTTAGCATAGACTAGTGGATCCACTTAGTTGAGGAGTTCTATACCTTGGAAATGTATAGGACAGTTCTGGCAGCGTGGGCGAGACGTTGTATCATCACATAGCTCATAGTAATGGTTGTCGGTTAGAGAAACTCCCACATAGATATTTTGTATTCTTATATACACAGAGTTATATTGTATTTTCATATACAAATTGAGTTATTATTTTATTCTTCAATATATTGAGTTGCTATCTACTATTTTAAAAACTTTCCATATATTGCATCTTTTATTGTTGCTTTATATTGAGTTGAGTATCCGGAGTTGAGTATCTTATTATTGAGTTGATCCTTATTTCTCATTATTGAGTTGAGCCTTATTTCATTGATTTGAATATCTTATCATTGAGTTGAGCCCTATTTTCTCTGAGTTGAGTTGAGCTATGTTTCATTGGGTTGAGTTGAACTATGTTTCTTTGAGTTGAGAAGAGGTAAGTATGTTTATTTTCCACCAATTCAAGCTTTTGTTTATGCTTTAGAATTCCCCTTACATGCTCGTACAT